TGATTGGGGCCCAACTGGTGCTCGCACTCAACCATTTGCACGACAACGGAGTGGTTCATCGATGTCTCAATCCAGAGCTGGCGTCCCTGGACTGGAGGGGTCGGGTCAGGATCACCGATCTCAGCACATGCAAGGTTTGGCACACATTATCAAGAGAAACACGTATCATATATTTTAGTGTCATATACTTTACTCTTTCGGTTTCCCACAATATATTTTTAATTAACGATTAGTGAATATTTGCCAGAAAAAAGCAATGAAAAGTCTGACATTGAAATCGGGACAAATTTATTCAAATTACTCATAAAATGCAATAAATTTTATATTTAATAAAACTTAATCATATAAAATATATGGCACTTCTCTTTGACAGAAAAGTTTTTGTAATAAATTTTAAAGTTTTTCAAACATAAACCAAATTTATTAGAGGTATCCTTAAGGCTGACGAGTATAAGTGCCTTAAAGGACAGCTTTTGTATTAATCAATAGACAAATTCTTGTTTCTATTTTTATACACAGAATATATTCTTATGTTTTATAACTTAAATATAAAAGGATTGGTTGAAAAAGGTTTTGATCTAAATTCTGTTGACATTATTTTGATTGACGGCACAAAACTATTTTCAAATCTTTTTTATAAGCTTTTTTAAACTATAAGTTTTAAGAATAACAATAAATTATATGCGGAAACAATTATAAATACTCCTTGGTACAAATAAAAACTTTTTTATTTAAATGTATTTCCCCAAAAAACTATAGCAAAAGGGCTGCGCCTTTGAGTTGGATGTCATCAAACGACTCAAGTATCCATTTATAGCGCCTGAGATCTTGAAGGGAGAGGTTTACGGTAATTATACACCACTTACTCTCAATTGTCACTTAAAAATACAAAAACCCATTGACATAAATAAACAAAATGATTATAAATAAAACTCTACTAAAACTAATGATTGTGTTCAGAGCCGGCATCTGACTGGTGGTCACTCGGCTGTTGTCTCTATCAGATGCTGACCGGAAAGGCATTGCTGTCACAACACGACTCAATCGACTCATTAATTAAAGACATTTCCAAAGACAACTGCAAGGAAGCGATCGAAGGTATAATTGATAGGAAATGTTCACTCATTTCCACCACTTTTTTGTCTCTCGAAGAAAAATATGTGGTTTTAATACTATTTAACGCCAAAAACACTTATATTTTGCTCCAATTTTTCTGTTCTCAGACATAATTAGATCTCCGATAGAATATCCGAAACATTTATCTACAAATGCTTTCAACATTTTGTCGGCATTTCTTGAAAAAGTATTCATAAATTTATTACTTTTTGTGTTTAGTTTTTTGTTGTTGAAGTGAATAATAATAATTTACTTATTTTTATCACTACTTAATGATAATTCATACTTTAATGACACATTTATTAAATTATTATTATCTGTGCTAACCCTCGCTATTTATAACACCAATCATAGGATCCCAACAAACGTCTTAAATGGCATAAAGAGACCGGAATTAAGTCCATTAAAGAGCATCCCTTCTTCGGTGGCATCGATTGGCAGAAATTGGTATTGAATTTCTTTGCCTTTAAGTCTCGCATGAATTTCTTGTCAGAGAAACACATATTTAGTCCACTTTTTGCAATCATTATTCACTTTCAAGAATATTATTCTTGAACTAAAACAGAATTGACACAATTTATATGCGTTTGTAGAGCACATACCTATTGAATTACTACACATATGCTACTTTCTCTCTCTCTCTCTCTCTCTCTCTCTCTCTCTCTCTCTCTCTCCATCACTCAAGAAGGCACTCACTTATTTCCATTTTTCTGACAAAACAGATTAAAACAAATTTACTTTAATTTTATGACAATATTTATAGTTATTTGAGTGAAACTAAAAAAGATTGTTTCGCACAACTATTTAGGCCACCGATGAAAGTGTTGGCACAATTCAAATGGATCTGAGTTACAGTATTTGGTCGGCTGAACAGACAAAGATTGAGGGCGTGTTGGGTCCCGATTACGGGGCAAAGTATGCCAACTGTCATATCATTCAACACAAGAAGACCGGTGAGGAAGGGGTTATGAAACTGGTCTGGAAGGCAGAGATGCGAAAGACCAACTCCGGGTGGAAGCGAGTGATGAACGAACGCCTCGCGTGGCAGAAGGTGTCCGGACATCAATACACGGCTGGCCTGAAGGGCTTCTTCGAGACGGAGGCCGCCTATTGTTTTGTGAGCGAACACATCCGCGACGCCGTCAGCCTTAGTGTTGTCATCAAATCGGCTCCACTGCCCACAGAAGTGGTCAAATACTTGGCCGGACAGCTGGCGATTGCCGTGAATCACATGCACGCCAGGGGTGTATTGCATCGGAGTCTGTCTCCCGAGTGTATATTCATTGAAAAGTGCGGTCGACTCAGACTTTGCGACTTTGAATCGGCGAAACTCTGCGAATTCAGTTGCCATCCGTTTGGCGACTGTAGTTATTTGGCGCCCGAAATCATTCAGGTCTCAACTCATTTCAATTTATGTATACATTTATAGTTTTAACGATATTCTGACAAACAATTTACTTTTAAAGAATATATCAAAGAATTGAAATATTAATCAATTATTGTGTCATTTATAGGGCAAAGAGTACGGAAAAGAGGCCGACTGGTGGGCTGTGGGCGTCATATTAGTGGAGATGCTTTTAGGCAATACACCGCTCGACATATTTTGTGATAAACGCCAGATCACTGATGACTGTGACATCGATACAGAACTTTTATTAAGAGGTATTTGTTGTTATTTTTAACCACGTTTTAAATAACTTTTGCGAATAAATTGTATTTTTACTTTATTCCGACTAATTTATGCGACAGTTACTGAAAGTATACCCAAAATGTTAACTAATATCGAGTCAATTGGAGCTCAGAATTTATTGAAACAGCTTTTAGTTGCCGTAAGTATAAGAGGAAGAGCTCCTTATTTTATTGATATACATTTTAAAGTTATGTTTTAATATTAATAATGTTTTTTATTGGACACAGAATCCCGAACAACGACTTGGATTCAAGAGGAATGCCTACAATGAGATCAAATCCCACCAATTCTTTAAGGGTCTGTTGTGGCCGAAACTTGAATCGCCTGAAACAGAGCTATAGTCTAGAAATTAACGAATATTTTTGTAATTTGAACATAAATTGTTAGATTAATTGAATGATTTGGATATTAACTGTTACCAGAAGTTTGTGTTAAATATAATATTATAACTTATATTTTAGACACATTTTTGTATAACAAATATATTTTTCTTTTCAAGAAAACAATCAAAACCAACAAATATTTTTCCATTACATTTCTAGATGAAACAAATATCTATATTTCATAATTGTTAGCAAAACTCATTTAAAACATATTTTGAACAATGAAAACAATGAAAACAAAAGTCTTGCCGAAAAACTATTACCGAATTTGTATTTTGTATGAAATTTGAAATGAATCTCCAATTGGGTGTATATTTCGTAACAATTTTTATATACATTAAAACCCAGTATTAAATTAGATTTAGAAATAAATAATTATTATTAAAATTAAATAATTAATTTACAATATTTTTCAAAATAAATATCAGATCTTTATTAACGTTAATGAAAATTGAATAAATCACTAGAAAGTATATTTTAAATACCAATTGTACTTTAAATCCAAATAAATAAAACGTTATAATATAACGTATATTATAACTTATATTATAAGATCGTTATGTAAATGAGATTATAATGAATAGACGAGAGAACAGTATAAATGGTAAATATAGTAATGAAAACTTTCAAACACGATATCGCGCTCAAGACATCTGCCATCTCAAGACGTTTTGATCGCTTCCAGAGCTACTTCCGTCGTCGTCACTGTCGGGACGATTGCGAGGAAGTTTGACCACTCCTTTGGCACCTCTGTTCTCCATCTCTGCCTTTCTCTGTTCAGCCATTAGTGCCCGATATTCGCGCAACTCTTGAGGTGTCATATCACTGGTTATGTCCACCAGTGTCTCCCCGCCCAACACGTGGCCATTAGTTGTACCGGAATTCTCACCATTTGATGTCGTGGCACGTCTTTGACTCGCACTACTCTCTTCGGTTTCTTTTTTCGATCTTTTGTCGGGATTACGGCTAACAGTAGAGGCGGCGGTAGTCTTGCGTTTGGAAGCTCTGGTTCCACCACTTGTTGGTTGCCAGTCGTCGTCGCCGTCATTGTTAGCGGCGATTGAGTCCATTCCTCGCATCACTCCTTTAAATCTGGGCTCATCTTTAGTACGACTGGTTTGTCCGCCAGAGCTGTTCCCCACTCGAGGCTTAGCGCTAGACTTGCCGTTCATTTGTGCGGTCTTTGCGGTCACACCACTTGGTCTCACAATTATGCCGTTTCTTATGGTGGCATTACGTGTCATATTAGCGCTCGTATTATCACCCGAACCGATGCCACCATTCAATCCATTACTAATGGTGTTCATTGAGGTGTTTCCGACTGTCAGATCGTTATTCACGGGAACATTAAGTGCTGTATCTATTGTCTCGCTATCACCAGAACTGGTTCCGGGGATCAGCCATTCCTGGGGAACCGAACCGTCCAGTTCTTCCGCGCCGTACAACTCTTCGTAGTCTTCGGGTGTAATGATTGATGTCTTGGGAATCGACGGCAAAATAGTGGCGGCCCTCGTCTTAGGAGTGGGTGTTGTGGCGGCCATCGGCTTAGGAGCGGGTGTTGTGGCGGCCCTTGTCTTAGGGGCGGGTGTTGTGGCGGCCATCGGCTTAGGAGCGGGTGTTGTGGCGGCCTTTGTCTTGGGATCAGGTGTTGTGGCTGTAGTGTCGTTACAGCGGATGAGGTGAATGCGCGGCCCATACATGGCCTTCGATATAATCCTATTGTGACGGACGGGACAAATGACGAGATCACACAACTCGTCGATCCATTGCCGACACACAGTCTTCTTCACACCTCTGGTCTGCGAATCCAACTCTTGTAAGATCTCATCCCTCCTCACAATCAATAGATTCCGGATTTGAGACAATAAGTCAGTCGAACGCTTCCCAGACATCGCTTCCAAACTCTTTTCAATTGCAACAAAACTTTGCAAAAATCAAAAACTTTTTTTCGAAACCAAATCCAAGACAACAATCGATACTTTGGACGAAAAGAGTGTATATTTTGTAATCACTTTTCGATAAACAACTTATAAAAAGAAAAATGAATGAAAAACAAAAAGTGTTTGCNAAAACTTTGCAAAAATCAAAAACTTTTTTTCGAAACCAAATCCAAGACAACAATCGATACTTTGGACGAAAAGAGTGTATATTTTGTAATCACTTTTCGATAAACAACTTATAAAAAGAAAAATGAATGAAAAACAAAAAGTGTTTGCGTAGACCTAATGCCCGCTCTCTCTGTCCCTTATATACCTCTGCAAAGCGTCATTATTTAATACCTGTTTATAATAAAGTAGGTTGCCCAATCACTTTTTTAAGTGATAAACCATGATGCTATAACGCAAAGATTAATCGTTTGCACCTTTTTTGCAAGCTTTTTTACACCTCTAATAAAACCTCTTTACATATCCCTCCGCGCAATACTGTATCTAATGCTCACGTAATATATGACTATAGCCACGTCATTTATAATTAACCATTGTTTATATGCAAACAAACTTACGTTTCGTTATATTATGTTGCATATATCATGATGTCAGTGTTATCTGGGCCTACAATAAATGACTATTCAGTAGCGTTGGAACAGTTTCGTCAACGTTTATTCAGGTTGTAGGTTCTTGCTTAAAGATATTCTATTTGAACGTAGCTCGTTCTGTATTGAGCTAGTTGTTCGGGGATTTACCATACTCAATTGATATCTATGATGATAAAAATTACGATGCTAAAATATTCTTATTTATGTATTATTTATGTAAACGAGTCTAAATTATTTATTCCAACCAATATTGTTTTTTGTATGTTTTAATTCTATTTATCCTTCAATTTATATTTGTTTATTTAACCTCAATTACCATTTGATTAGTTTATATTAAATTAAATTAAGAAAATTGATATAAATTTACATCTACCACATGTTTTAATCATTTTTAAATATATTTATAAATATTTACAATGTTAATTAAAACTAGTTATAACTTAACACATTATTATTGGTGATGGCGTTTACGGTTATCGTTATGAATAAACAAATTATTAAACATATTTAAAGCATATTTGTTGAACTGCAGTACATTTATCCTCACATTTATCCTCACTTTTAACTGATTTAACGATAAAATTGATGCAATATTTTACATATTTTTAAAAATGATTTTTAAATGATTTATGGTTTGAGTTAACATTTATATTGCAGATGTGTCTCAAATATCGTGCAATATTAATAGTAATCTGTTATAACTTATAACAACTATTAATAACAAAATATTTAAGTTAAAAAATGAGTCTAAATTCGATTACCTCATTAAAACCGCTATAATTTTCATATAAGTTGCAACTTAAGCGCTATTTATATAAATTATGAAATACTATAATATTAATATTTCTATATAAAACTGTCTGAAAACAGATAACAAAGAATCAAAAATGTAAAATTATTACAGTAATTGTAAATTCTTTTATACAAACTTATAAAAATAACATTATGATCAATTATTAGCGATAACTTTCCAGACACTAAAAAAGTCTCCGTCAATAAAATAAAACAGACAATAATACAAACATATTCTCAGATATTATTATCGCAAGTAATTGAACACTTAATGAGGATATAATACAATAACTGCAATTGTACATGGTAAAGTTTAAGTTGTTATCTCACAAGTTTATTAAACTAAAGTAGTTTAGTGAATATGATCATTTATTCCTATTCCTAAACAACATTGAAATTGCCGTTATGTGCAAAGACTGTTCAAACAAAACATTTCTCTACTATTTTTTTCATGCGTTATATATTATTTGTTGCAAAACTATTTCTCGTTTCTGTTTTGACGTCAAAACTAAGTTATAATAATTATAATTACAAATAATAACTATTAAGAAAACGATTAAATGAATTGATTTTCACATTACTTCTCGCATTCACTGTAAAAGTGAAGGCAAAGTGAAAAAGTGATCTCAATTCAGAACTTGTATTTTCTTCAAATACAATATACACTCGTTATATATCCATAACTATATAATTAGTTAATTATATATAAAATTTATATTATATTAACACCTTGTACAGTATATACCATGCGATTAAATACAATAAACTATTTCTATCGTACACTCTACACGTACAACAATTAACAAAATAATTCAACGTTCACTATAACGGGTGTTCACTAAACTGTAAATGTATTGCACAGTGAAAGCGAACACAACGCTATCTATAGTGCGTTAAAGTGAGTGAAACACTAATATAGAGGTAAAAGTAGTGGAAAAGTCATACAAAAGCCCTATTTATTTGGCGATTGAATAGAGAAATGCGAAACAAAAATACATTGAATGCATAAAACACAGCAAACGAGAGATTTATATAACAGTGAGTGATATTGCTCAGCAAACTTGCTTTGTAGTGAGTTTTGCATGTGATTTATATTTTGTAATTTTGTAAACTTCGCAAACAAACTTAGTTTACAAGTAAAGCACTTCACTACACTTCACATAATGTTTACTTAATCAAATGAATTAATGATTTGTTCGCTAAAAAAGCCATACAATCGTCGGTTTAGTGTACGAAACGGTTGACTCAATGCTCGCAATGTATTCATTCATTCAATGATTACATTCTCATTGCAATCGCTTTCATCGTAATTACATTTCACTTCTCCTCTCATCTGTTGACCACGTCTTGGGCCACCTCTTGGGCCACTCGTATCGGATCCCAACATATGAATGGATATGAGTGGACGATATTGTCGTACACTTTATGCTTGATATCCAAATGATAACAAAACCGTTATTATAATTACAAAAGCATTCATTCATTTGAATCACTCGTTATTTTTGGTGCCATTTATTGATCACTTGATTATTATTACAATTAATCACAAAAAATGTTATTAAATGTCAACAAATTGTTATTTTCATTATTACCACTAATACTACTCGTCATTATCACCGCAACGGTTGAAGGCCTACATGTGACGGGTGTGTGGAGTCCATCAGCTGATCCACTGAAGGTTAGTATCGATTGTCTCACTCGATGTTTAATTGATTTACCATTCATTGATGATGTGATCCATTGTCTCGATTGTATGTTCAGGTGATCGCTCGCTTCGGTGTCGGCAAATCCGATCCGCACCACAAAGACGATAGCTATGGCTACGTCTTCGGCAACGTTACCAAACATATGGATCCGAAC